TCATTCATTCATTCATTCATTCATTCATTCATTCATTTATTTATGCCTTCAAGTTGGTTTTTGACTCCTGGCGACTGCTTGGATTAGTCCCTGCAGTTTTCTTGGCAAGATTTCGGAAGTGGTTTGCCATTGCCTGCTTCCTAGGGCTGAGAGAGTGTGACTGGCCCAAGGTCACCCAGCTGGCTTCGTGTCTAAGGCGGGACTAGAACTCACAGTCTCCCAGTTTCTAGCCTGATGCCTTAACCACTATACCAAAGTAGCTCTATATGTTTTAATTTAGCACATTTGTAATACAACTTACTTTCTGCAATTTTATTACAGCAAGTGAGTATTTAGGGGGAGCTCATTAAAAAATATTAAAGTACTGTTCTCAAGAACTCTAATATGCCATTATTTTTCATGTTCATGTTGACTCCCATTTGATTAATAAAAGATGTTTCATATTTATGTTTAGTAGCATTACCTCTTGAAAGAAGCCATACTGTTTGGAAAAAACTGACAGATAGAATAACTTTTATACTTGGAACACTAAAATTTAGATGAAGACCTGAAAATAAACAAATGAAAACAGAGAGTCATTAAAAGTAGGAATCTGGAATATGTAGGAGGCATTCTGCACAATATTATTTCTTTTTAACTTTCAAAGATAAGAGGACTTCAGAAGAGGAAAGGATACATATGAAGTTTCATTCAGATACATTAAAGTAATTAAAGCAGTATTTATTTATTAAAGCCTTGCATTTTCAGTGATTGTGGGCCTCTGAAATGAGAAGAAATCCTGATTAAAAGAAAATTGATTGAAGGAAGACAGTTCTCAAGGGACTATTTGTATCCCTGAGTTGTTTGTGCCATACCATCTGATTCAAGAATTATTTCTTCTAAGCCTGTAAAAATGATATAGAATGCAATGCTGTCCTTCAAATACATATTGATAACATTAAACATTATTTAAATGAAGCTAAGGTAATATAATTGGTATTTGAATTACAGAATATGAAAAGACAGATAATTGAGACCCAGCTGATGTAGTGATTACATTTATTTAAATATTTATTCAATCAATTTATATAGCCACCCATCTTGGCAATGACTTTGGGCAGCAAACAATTATAAAAAACAAATACATACACAAAAATTAAAATACACAGCAGCTAAGAAAACCAACCATCATCCACATAGCCAAGAGATAGGTCCCTTCATCCATTTGGGGCCCCAGGCCTGAGCACAGAGCCAGGTCTTTAAGGCTTTACAAAAGGCCAGCAGGGTCAGGGCCAACCTAATCTCCAGATGGAGAATGTTCTAAATTGTGGGCACTATGGCAGAAAAGTCTTGTCTTTTGGGCCCTGCCAGCCTGCATTCCTTAACTGACAGGATTCGGAGCGTGCCCAGCCTGCCAGATTGGATGTTGGGCTATGGCTGGTGAGACTTAGGTTTAAATCCCTTGTGAAGTTCATAATGCTGGGAAAGGTGGAAGGAAAGAGAAGGACAACCAGCAACAAGGTTGACGGGCTCATTTACAGTGGCAATGAGTACACCATTGGAAGACCTGAAGGGCCAGATTGGGGACAAGGCCTATCTGTGTGATTGCTAAGAGTTGGCATCAACTTGATGGCACATAATCAGTCAGCTGTGGAAGCACATTGGATGTGAGAGATGGTGGGAAGCTGGCATGAGAGAACAAGTTCAGTAGGTGTAGGAAGAAGCAGCACAAAAATGCTTTTCTGAAATCCATGTGGTTCTTGTTTCTTCCGTTTGCCAGCTATATGGGGCTTGGCACTGAGTGAGTTTTGGCCAGTCACTTAACTCTTGGCCCATCCTTAATCAGAATTGTAGAGAAAAAATCAGAAAAGAGTACTGTGTACATTGCCTTGAGCTCGTGGGAAAAAGTCAAGCTATAATTCTAACATACATAAAAACAAATAAATACAATTGTTCAAATAGCTATTGACTACAGGATATATATTTACCTCCCTTTTGGCATAGGTATAGGTGAGATAGGAAAAGTTTTGTGTATTTTAATCTTGGTTTTGTGTGTATAAAGTCAAAAAATGAAGACATGATAAACTTTTTTTAGTCAAGGTGTTGTGGAGTCAAAATTTAATATAGACAACATTGAGTGTTCCAGTGCAGTTCTGTGGTCTTAAGGCAATAATTAGATGTTGAGATGTTTGAAGCAGCCTTGTGTAAAACAAATATACTAATTTATTTTGGATACTAAGTAACAATTCAACAATTGCAAGAGAATGAATAATAAACTTTTTAGAAACTTCTCAGTTGTCTAGTGAAAGTAGAGTAACACTAATATAAATTGTTGGTGTGTTAAATGACTGTAAACTCTCCTGAGTGCTTCAAATGTAGTGATACTTTTATAGTGGGACACTGATATTTATGTACGCTCTTTTCCGAAACAGAAATTGACAGTTTTGTTAACAGACAAAAATTAAGATATATAGAAACATTTGGCTTAAGGGGCGTACACAGTTGTCAATAAAAGCTAAGCTTATATTACAACTTGAGAACAGACAGTTGTGGATATTGTTAGCTTGCTAAATTAAAAAACAGCAATATGGTTATATTTCTTTGACAAAATATTAGACTGACTATGGTCTTATTGAAGTTGTACATTTTTGAAACTATACAGTAGGTAAGACTGTTGTGTTGAGGTATAGATCTAAGTTGGAAGTATAGGAAATATAAGACAGTACATTAAATAGGGCTAATGTTTAATTGTTTACCATGTTCTTATTAATTTTTCTTTTTGTTTACATTAAAAATTACACTTGGGACTTAGGGGTGTGTTCCAAAATTTTTGGGAAGTTCATTAACTTGTGGGGCCTCAAATTGTAGACCTGTGTTCTAAACTATGCACAGATTTGTATACTGTATGTGTCAGTGCATAGCGGACCACTCAGTGAATCACAATTAAAAGGCTATTTTTAAGCTAACTAGCCTGTAATTTCCTAGATTCCTTTTTAAAAATTGGCATATTAATCATTTTTTAGTTCTCAAGAGCATATTTAGAACAAATTTGTTAGATCAGCAATTTTGTGTTTGAATTCTTTTAGAACTATGAAATAGATTCCATCTGGACCCATTTTGTTTTCAATTTGTCAGTAAGTTCTAGAATTCATAAACTTTATCTCAAGTCCTCAGAGTTCTTTGATGAAAACACAGTTGTGTGACTAGAAAACTACATCTTCTGCAGAGAAGGCAAATACAAATAATTTAACTTTTTCTACAGTCTTGCCTTTCTTGGTTCAACTGCCTACATAGCTGTTTTCCGTCTGCTGATATATTTGAAGATTTCTAAATTACTGAGTTTAATATTATTAGCAATAACCCCATGAATTCCCTTCTTCCCACTTCTTTGCATCCTTTATTATGTGTTTGCATTTCTTCAATTTTGTGTTGTACATTGAACACAGGTACCTTTTTATTGGAAAAAGGTATTTCTGGAGGAGGACTACTTAATGCAAAATTTCATTTAAATTTTGGGGGAAATAGTATGATTATTCATAGTTATGTAAAATCATTTGCAGTTATATAACAAATTAAAAATGTTTTATAGGTGCAATGGATGAGCTTCATAGCCTGGATCCAAGAAGGCAAGAACTGTTAGAGGCTAGATTTACTGGAGTTGTGAGTGGCAGTACTGGAAGTACGGGAAGCTGTAGTGTCGGAGCAAAGGTAAAAGTAATGTGGACTATACAAAATAAATTCAAAGAGCTGATTATTTGTTTCGATGAATATGGATTATGTACAGTCTTGCATATGATTGTGCAGGAGCAACTTCTACTGAATTCATTAGGGCTTATTGTCATATAGGTGGACTTAGGAGCAATTCTGTGTGTATTAAGCAAAATGATACAGTGAGCAACAGTCAGTCACTTTTAGTGGCAGAGGGAAAGAAGATTGTGACCCTATTATTTCTTTTAATTTTTAAGCAGCTTTTAATACTATCAACCATGGCATCCTGGATCAGCTGCATGACAATGATATGGGAAGCACTTCCAGACTTATACTTCCTCTACGGGAACAAGTGTGTTATTGGTGACCTTCATTGATTTCTGTAGGACAGCAGCAAAGGGAGCAAATGGTGAAATCATTTGAGCATCATGACACAATACCACACTTTTGTCTGACCCAAGTATGATTTCAAGTATACAAGGGTGGGATTTCGAACAAATATTTTTAAAGTTTATTAATATATAATATGACTTTATATAATACAATATAAAGTTGTATAATATAATAACAAATGAATACGTGTAAGACATTGCATAATACATACAAAACACCATTAACATAGAACAATATATACGTAAAAGTATAACAGAACAATATATACATAGAAAAGAAGAAACATAGTAAAGAAGGAAAAATACGGAGAAAGGAAAAGAGGGGAAAAAAAGAAAAC